AACAAGGAAAGAGAATCTCTTTCCTTGTTTAAGAAATCAAATTTAGTTGGGTTATGTTATTGTTGATGTTATTGTTTGTCAAAACTGTCACATGAAAGCTTATTTATATTTTCTATTGAAGTTTCTTAACAATTGTTTAACATTTTAGACTATTATCGTTATTAATTAATTAAAACTTTATTGTGTTCTAGTGTTACAAAAAGTATTTTAATAAATAATTTTAATAAATAAATAGATAAATATATAATATAAAATATTATGTAATATAAAATAAATAAATAGATAAATTAGAACCCCTACACCACTGTATGATTATTGTCAAGTGTCATGAAATTTAAATTTGGCGCATTTGCATTTCCGGATATGTCCGCCATCAGAGGCCACTTTTTTGGTCTCCTTTTCATAACGATTAGATTCCCTCTTTTGTCTTATTGCTCGATGGCTTAAGCACAGAATAATATACAATCAGAATGTCCACTCTCCATGAAAAATTAAGTATGCGCATCTCGTTCGCGCAGACGTTCCGCCATGGTTTAAAGGGAACCAGTGTTGTTTAATGAAAATTTATGTGGTGTGCATAGAAAAATTAACCCGGTTTAATTGACTTACTGCAATCATAGACATACCACAGAATAATAAACAATCAGAATGCCCACTCTACATGGAAAATTAAGTACCCGCATCTCATTCGCGCAGACGTTCCGCCATGTTTTAAAGGGAAAAATTTATGTGGTGTGCATAGAAAAATTAACCCGGTTTAATTGACTTATGGCAATCATAGACATACTATACAATTATTTTAATATTGCTAAATATAATAACATAACTATAATTTAATTAAACATAAATATAAACAATTACATAACCTCACAAATCATATGTCGATAAAGACTTATTACACTAAATGTGGATCTGAATCCGAGTCTGTGTTTCCTTCTAAAACATGGCGAGCGTTCTGAAAAACTACAAAGGCGTCATCTGAGATTGGGCATTCTGATTGTTTATTATTTTGTGGCATAAACACAGAATAATAAACAATCATAATGCCCACGATTCGTAGACTGACTATGGTCGCCTCTTCCGACTAACCAATGAACATTAAGCCCGAAACTGTACTCTCGTGACGTAATTTGAATCTTAACATTGTTAATCGGCGTTTTCATGTATTTGATGTATAGAAAATAGTAAAGATAGTTATGAAATAAAGATGTTTAGTGGATTATAATACCTAATTATGGAAAACTGTTGATATGTAGGCAGTTTGGTACTTAAAATTAATCAGAATAAAGTTTAGATTTACGTAAATCTAGGACTTCAATCTCCATTTTACACTGAAAATTTGTCGCATATACTGAATTATCAATACTGGATTAACTATTGAATGAATTACCGGCCTAGAGGTCAGCTAGGATTATCCGAGTTAGAATTACTTGTATAATTTAATGTAAGAATTTAAATAATATATAATCAATTTTAATTGGTAAAAAACGTAACTAGTTTATTGTATTTCCAATAGATATAAATATACACTACATAATTATTTTTTTCATTTTTTTTAAATATTTTTCTAATAAGTCTTAAATGATAGCTGTTTGTGTTTTCATTGCTACTCTTTTATCTCTTCTTGCTGTAGGTTCACCTTTTGTTTGTTTTTAAACATCTTGAGATTTTTCGGAATTGCTATAAAATAATGATGATAATAAACAGAATTGATCAGATCAGATCAGAATGAAATTTTACAGTTTTAACCTACCTTATAAAAAAATTCTTATGTAAGGTACTCTACAATAGGTACGATGTACAACTACAATAAATAACTTTTCTTCATTAATTAAAAATAAGTTTTTACAGAAAACAACACCAAATTTTCAAATACAAAAATATAAAGTAAACTAAGATATTTAAGAAACAATAAATAATAAAGCAAATAATAACTGAAAGATAATTACCACGAACAAACTGTGATAATAAATGGGTTTTGTATTCTTGTGTACTCTGGTGACGTAACTCAAGCATCCCCACCCCAGTTTGAGGAGGCAACCGTAGTAAGTATACGAACTGTTCATAATGCCCACTCTCAGATGCCGCCTTTGAAGTTTTTCAGCACGCGATCGCCATGTTTTAGAAGGAAACATAGACCGAATTGACAAATTTGTGACAAGCTATGACAGAACTGTAATTTAAATTTTTAGAAATTGATAATTTAGTACATTTGAAATCATTTAATCTATTCTTCAACGTACTATTCTATTATATTCTATTCATACTAAAAGTACGAATAAAATAGTACATATTATGTCTGTAGTTGCCGTAAATAAATTAAACCGGGTTAATTTGTCTGTGCACACCAGATAAATTTTCACTGAACAGCACTGGTTCCCTTTAAAACATAGCGGAACGTCTTCGCGAACGAGATGTGCGTACTTAATTTTCCATGACGGGTGGGTATTCTGATTGTTTATTATTCTGTGGCTTAAGAATTGTGTGCATAGGGAATTTTTCGCTAATTGTTTTCTTTTTTTTAAGTTGGTAACATGTTACTATTCCTTTTTGGCATGTAACCTTATTATTTCGGTTGTTTAGTTACCTTCTCGGTACTAGTGTAATAAGCCGGAACCATGTTTACGGAGATGAAATTTATATTAATGAATTCTGCTTCACTTACTAATGATTGTGCAATGACTTTTATGCGGTGCAAGACGTTATTTTTTATGTAATTTCCATTTAAAATATGCCCGATTTTTAAAAGCCACCGCCATTATTCGCCATTATTTACCATGAAACAACAAGAAATGACAGGAATGACAACTGTTTCTTATGGTCAAAAATGGTAATTTTAACCAGTGTTGCCATAGTTATTCAAAATTATGTTTTCTAATGAATTTCAAATTGGACATTAAAATAACATTTTATTATTACCTACTTTTAACTGAAAATTATAGCTTTTTTACAAGGATCAGGTTAGGTTTGGTTACGTTTCTTTACGTTTATTATCATATTTTCTTATGAAAAATAAAAAATTTGATTTTTAATTATAGCTGGATTTATAGTTTGACGCACTGTAGACGTAGACGCACTGGAGACGTAACAAACGGACTGTAAATAGAGTGTTAAAGTGCAGGCGACACGTAAACGTTAACACTAACGTAAACGTAAATATATTACGTTTACGCACACTATACGTTTTAGCTGTGAAGTGTAAAACGTTAACGTCTAACGTGTGTTTCTAACCTTACTTTTACTCAAATTTGTTGTGGATTAATTACAAATTTGAATGATTAGACAGTGTCCTTTTATATTTTTTTCCTGGTTTGGTTAGTTTTTTATGAAATATTTTGATTGCTTTTACAGCAGAATGGAAGATATCTTTAATATTTGAAATGTGTGGGGAATCTGATTTCGAGGATGATGACATGTACGATGCTGTACTTCTACATGTATTTGGTAATAACTTATTGGAAAATTGATATCCGTCATTTTTTTTCGATTTTTTTCACTATTTTTAGATTACAATAATACAAACAAAAGATGAATCTTTGGTTAAAATCACAAAACAACAAAAAGTTTTTAATTTTCGGAGATTTGACAGAAATTCGGTAATACTCGGAACCATCGGAACAATTTGGATAACGTTAAGGGAATCCGTAAACGCACGCAAGGTTACGGAGACCCGTTAACGCAAACGTATGTATTCCTCTACTGCGCACGAGTAGCTGTCAAATTATACGTTAACGTTAACGTTTTGCGTTAATATAATTTCAATTTATAAATCGACGGAGTGGAATTTTTGCGCATGAGTAGAAAGAGCGGCTAGAGTTGGTGACCATGATATTATAATATCATTTAATTATTTATTATTATTATTTTATAAATTCTTAACCTCCATTGTAACAAATAATCAACAAAATAAAAATTCGAATATGTTAATAAGCAACTTTACAAAATTGTGGGCGTGCCAGACAGTTCATTTTGGTTGACAGCACAAAATTCTTCCTTTTGATTGGCCAGACGCAAGTAACGCACTGTAAAAGATGAAAGTTGACCAACTCTTCCGTTACAGTGCGTTTCGCTTACGTCCCGTCTTGCGTTTACGTTCATTTATAAATAAGAGTACACAAAAGTCTATGTTGATCTTTTTCCAGTGCGTCTGCGTCTACAGTCCGTCAAACTATAAATCCAGCTTTAATTACAAAATTTTATTCTTATTACTGCTTTTTTACCAGCGTTAGGTTAGGTTAGTTTAGGTTGGTTTAGTTTTATTGTCATGTTTTCTTATTGGGTTAGATTTGGTTTATTGGTTTGCATTTTTAATAATAAAATGTAAAGAAAAATATGAAATTAAAACTGGCAACAATGTCAAATGTACATAAAATTTAACTTATTGCGCATGGCCGCCATATTGTTTTGAAATATTAAAAATCTTGATTATTTTAAACAATTTTACGCATTTTTTCATAATTTTACAGTAAAAATAGTGATATTTAATATGTTTTAGTTACGTTTTTTTTATTATGACATGTATATATACTTTTCTTTGCTTTTTATGTAATTTTTTGTTGGTTCATAATACTTTTTTTGGTATTTTTTCTAATTTTTTTGATTATTTGGGCACTTTTAATAGTTTAAAGCAAAGAAAACATTAAAATTTGAGGTTTTTTTTTCACTTTTTCGGCTAAGTCCACAAAAAATTGTGCATTTTTAAGGCGTTCCGGCTTAGTAAATAATTACCCTTTTCTCCTTTTATTCAAATTTCATTCAAATGACGAATTTCTTACGTCAATGGGTAGAACCAGTACAACTATGACTGATGTACAGATTTCGAAGACCATAAGGAAAAAGAAGATCAGTGTCATTTGTCATTAGTCAATTAATTAATCTTAATATGTCAAATTCTGGAGTGTCATGAACATCTCTAAAATAATTTATCAACAAATTATGTTCTCTGTAAACAGATTTATTAAAGTAATTGTAGTTACGAGTATGGTAGACATTAGCTCAATATGAAACTCCTATCGCAAGACGTCGATAAAAATGGTGAGGGGTAAGTAATTTCCAAGCGAATATAAATATTAAGAGGTTATGTCACATGGAATAAAACACCTGCTAAAATGCTCAACAATTTTTCCATATGTTTTAGAATGAACACACGTATGGTGTTGGAAGTAGTTTATAATAATGATTGCTACACGTTCAATAAATAGTTAATGAAGATAATATTTTGTTCTATATTTCATAAAAATAATTACATTTTTTTATTTATAGAGCTATACATTTTGGGAAATGTATTTTTTATTCCTTATCTATTGTAATGATACAGTATTTGGGTGCATTATAGTGATAATGTATTTTGTGTATATCAGAGTTAGTATGGTAGTAAATCAACAAAGATTTAAATTCAAGTTTAAATGCATTTTATAAAAAAACACATAACTTTAAAGTTGACAAATAAAATGATTTCCGAAGTGGAAATTGAAACGTCAATAAACTTATTTTTTGTCTTTAATTGTGGTTTATTCCCAGTTAAATAGTAATTAATTGACAAATAAAGTTTTAACAGTATTTTTCACACTAAATTTTCAATGGATAATCGATTGTATTGTAATAATATATTATGTATATAAATCAGTTTCTGCAGAATTATTTTTTATGCAGTTCATTGCATTAGAGAAAATGAGTTGCAGTTAAAGAGAAAGTGGGTCTGGATGTAGACCAGCAAACTTTTTAAATAATTAAATAGTTTGTTCAGGATCGGCATCAACAGTCAGTTGTACTGAGTGTTAACTTTTTGTAAAGATTTTTGTGGAAATGATTTCAGTAGGTTGTTTATAACTAGAATACAAATATGTTTCGGCTTAAAAAGTTGTGAGATATTCAGGAAAAACTTTAGAAAGAAGGATCCAATGTTACAATTTTCCAACCCTTTACACTTGAATATATTATGTTGTTGGATAGGAATAGATACAAGTAAAATTGTTCGCATTTTAATTTCCTATTAAAAGTTCTGTATTTTTGAAACCATTTTCCTTTTATATGTAGCAGTTGCTCCTAGTCTGGTTCTTAGATTTTTCTCAACATATGCCTTGATGTCATTAATCTTTTAGTCATTCCATACACTTCTGATTTTCTTTGGCAATTTTAGCTTTGATTTTTGCCTAATCGTTATCATCTTCTGTAATTATTAACCCTACATATGTAAATTCTCACACTCTTTAAATTTGGCTCATCCTTTCAATGTGTCTCCCATCATAATATAATGTCTTCTCTTAGTTTATGCCATAATTCACTGCCTCCTCCAGTCTTCTTCTTAATATAATCGTTTTCAGATTGTGTTTATTTTTTACTATTATATGTAAGTCATTGGCGAAAAGCTATACACTGATCATTAGTCTACATATTGTTTCTGTAGATTCAACTTTTTCCTTTCTAATCATTTATTTTCAATGCTATATTAAATAGCTCCATTCATAGAAGATCCCAGTTTGAGACCTTGTTCTACTGCAAACATTTTAGTCCTATGTCCTTTGCAACCTTTTTCATCCTGGATTTGTTCTAGAGAATTGTGTAAGTGTAATCATCTTACTGGTATTCCTAGTTCTCCGATTGCATTATGCATTGGATTCCATTATATTTTATCATACCCCTTTTTAGTCAACAAATGTTACAGCAAGTATATTTTTATTTTTATAACTTTTGGGTTGTATTTCCTTTAAAGCAAATATCCATTCAGTTACAGATATGTTTGGTCTGAACACTATGTGATATTGACCTAACAAATTTTCACCATATTCATTCATTCTACTCCTTATACTTATATTTTATTTCTGTATTTTCTCTGTTCTTCTTTTGTTTCCTTTTTATAAGTGTTCTAGGCACCCTATCCATTTTATTCTCACCTGGTCAGCATTAAGTTTGAAAGTTCTTGGTGTTTTTTTGTTGAATACTCTTTCTTCATAATCTTCTTAGTTCAGGCGAGACTCCTTAATCTCTGGCACTCCTTAATTTGGTCATTGGACCTTTTCACTGTAAAATAAATTTCTTCATATCTTACTGTCTCTTTTTCTCGAGGCCTGTTCAGTCTCAAAAACCATCACTATCAGTTTTAGTTTTGATGGCAGATGTTTAGTCTGTTTTAATCTCTTGGGGGGCCTTTCCTTTCTTTGTATAACTTTTAAATGGCTTTTATTACTGTCTGTTTAATAACTTTGTTTTTTATTATTTCTATTTTTAAAATAGTCGTATGTTATCATTACACAGCCTGCAGAATTTACTGTTAAACTTCAATTATCTCCAGTGCCTCTAATCGTGTGCCATGTAAATTCAGTTTGTTGTAATCCTCATTATATCATCTGTATGCCATGTCAAAGGTCTTCTCTTACCTCTATATGCCTGAAATCTAGGATGCCAGTAGTCCACTATCATTATGTGTTTATCTACCTAGTGTTCTTCACACTCGCCATGTCTACAGTTTACTCTACAATCAGCTAGTACAGCAGATATTTGGTCCACATAGTCAAACGCTTTCTCTCAGCCCACAAGTATTAAGACAAGTGGTTTATCATATTCTACTATTTTTTTCTAGAAGTGTTTTTATAACTAGTAACTGAGAGATTGTTTGTACCATAACCTGATCTGAAATATGCTTTCTGTAGAAATCTTTCACTATGTATGATGTTACTTTATATCTGATGTTACTGTACCTTTGTGTTGGATTACTTCCGAAATAGTTTCTGTATTGTATTTTCATACATATTTTTTTATTTCTTTTCATACTTCTTTGCTTCTGTATAAGTAAGAACACTTCTCAGTTACACAGAAAGACCAAGAACTGCTTAAACATTTGGAGTGAAATCCTAATAAGAATATATGGATGAATAAAAGACCAAAGTTTGTGGCAAAGGCGTTGCAACTTGACTTGTATAGAAGCTCCAGGAAACTGGGCATAAAATTCATTAAAGTAGCATTCTGTAGATGGATCAGACGAGAGGAAGATGCAGCAATCAGAAAAGTTTTTGACCCAAGAAGGCTGATTAGACAATGAGCCAGAGGAAGACTGATACTTAATAATCAAGAAAACTTCCAGAATGATTTAAAATCTATTTGAGTTAGAACTTGGAGAAGAGTTACCAGAGACAGGGCTGAATGGAGGATTGTTCTGAAAAAGGATTTGCTTATTTGTCTATATTCTGCTATGTCTTTCTGTTTGATTTTTTTTCATATGCAATAAGCTCTTTTGTGTATTAACTTATTTTATCAGATGGTTTATTTTGTTTACTAAAATATATTTCTACAGGGTATTTTAGAGCACTTAATATTTGGTTATTTATTTTCTCCAGGCCTATGCTCCTTCGGTTTTAAAAAGCTGTCCTCCAATACACTGCTTATTTAAAAGGGTTTTTATTTCAATTTTTAGACACTAACATTTTAATGTGACCCATTTCTGTCCCTATCTTTGTTTCAAGCACTAATTGATGCTATTTATGTTCTATACTTTAATTGCCTGATATGCTTCACTATGTTTTTGCATCGTCCATTAAGGTTTTTCATTGTTTGGAGAGTTTCTAGATTTTGTCTTTTCTTCTGTGTATGGTGTAAACACTTTACGTAAACACAATGTTGATCTTTGCACTTTATCTAATTAATCACTGAACTGAGTTTTAACTGGTTAAATGCAGATGAGGAGACAACTTATTCATAGTATCTGTCACATTGCCCAAGCATAGCTATTGTCATATACTTGACTCTTGACTTTTAGGAGTTTCATGACATGACACTTGTCGGTTGACGGATGTCATTGGACATTACACTTTACAGATGACAGATAGGGATATAGCATGTTACCACGCACATGTTTAATTAGTAAGTGAAATAAAGGAATATAAAATACATTCATCATTTTTCATTACGTTACAACTACATACACAACAGCTATAAATATTATTAAAAATGTAATGTATAAACAATTATAAAAAATTTAAATAATTTTTGGTATAGAATTAATGAAAACAATATATGTTCATTCTTATTTTGCAATTTAGAGTATAAATGAGAGTAGGAAATAAAATAATGGTTTTCCTTAATACAAATTCAAAGCACATAAATGTGCATTCATATTATAAACATCCACCCACTTTCTAATGTCTGATATACTACAACCAACTCTAATCAGATCTCTATTTTTTCTAACTTGTATAATTTTTTCGTTTATATCAGGGCTTTTATCAGATATGTTGTTCTAAATTTATTGTCTTTAGATTCAATAATAATAATTATGTAGAATTAAGTACTAGAGAAATGAACATATTTTAATTTATAGCACTGTTGCTCTCATCCCCGAAGAGCCAGAAGATATGTGGCATGCTTACAATCTTATTTCTGAAGGAGATTCTGTAAGAAGTACTACAATTAGAAAAGTTCAATCTGAGTCTTCAACTGGTTCCTCCACATCTAGTAGAGTTAGAACAACATTAACAATATCAGTGGAAAATATAGATTTTGATACACAGGCATGTATGTTAAGATTAAAAGGAAGAAACATTGAAGAAAATCAATATGTTAAGGTAACTACAATGGTAAAATAACTCCAATTAAAAATCTCGTTTTTAAAAGATTGGAAACTGACTGCAATGTGATGTAACAATCTACTTTGCATAACGTTTCTGTATAATTTTTATTCACATTTTATATGATTGCAATAAATTTTATTTCTTATTGCAATAGCAATAATATTCTTATTGGCAAGTAGCTTATTGTTAGGTTAATTAAATTAAGTTAATCTAAATGTTTACGGACTTAATGGTATTCTACAAACTATTCTTTTACAACTGAAACTACATTACAACTAAATGGTCTTATATAGCTAGGTAATAATTCTAGTTGACTGTGGAGGAGTCCAGTAGATGTTATGAGTCACGCCTAAAGTTCAGAACTGGCTACTGATTTTTTGAACTTGTTCAATTGGTCTTTGGTGACTTGAGCTATGGAGACATGTTCTGAAACATGTAAAAAGATCTTGTTGTACTTCGATGGTCAACTGAATCTGGTCTTTCTTCTTTATACATAATTTATATTAAACTCTGTTAGGAGCTATCCATGTTTCAATGTTGAAAGGATTCTTGCTTCTGTACCATTTGACCCGGCATATGGGGCTGTGAATAACTTTTGGTTTTCATCTTGGCAGTTTCTTAATTAGGTATATTACATTGTTTATTATCTTTTTAATTTCATATAGACTTTACCATTGTCTTTGAAGTTTTGATTGCAAGTCTTGACATTGTTGTTTATTGTATAGCCAGACAAGATGATCCACTTTAAAGCTTTCATTTGTGGATCGAGAATTATATTGATCTTCCATTAAATCACTGGCTATCTGGATATAAACCGAATTTCATAAACTGTTTCATTCTTAGTCGATCAGTAGGGCATCAGGAAGAAATGAATTTACATATATTTTGATGTTACATATTTGGAAAGATATTTACCAATAGTTCAATTCATTCTCTCAACAATTCCATCTGACTAAAGATGCAAGGATATCATTCTGGTCTTATTGGCACCAATCGATTAGTAAATGTTTCGAAAAAGTGCCGAATTGAAGTCTCCTGGTTTGGTATTGCATATGTCTCAGATATTTTGTCAAATAATCCATTTGCCACCAGGATATATTTGTTTTAAGCATCGGTTTCTGGATACAGTCCTAGCAATATCAATGTCCTCCCTCCACAAGTGCCTTTTTTTACAAACTGAAACATTACCCATTTCACACAATTCACATTTTTGGCACCAACTTGTTATATCTTCTTTGAGTTTTAATTAATATTTTAATAAAGGTTCTTGAACCTTTTGTAACATCTCTGTAATGCCAGAGTCTCTACCTTATGCACTGTCATGTAACCAACGCCATTTTGCTGACTCTTTATGTTTTGAGTGCACTAAGCTGTAGCTACGATTGTATCATCATATTCAAATGATCAATACAGAAAATCTTTCAGTACTAGACAACCCTAATGACTCCAATCGGTTTTAACTTTCTGGACTACATGCACTTATATCTATCCAAGTTGGTCTTTCACTTTTATGTTTTCAAACCAAGACACATTTTAACACTCAGATAACAACTGAGTTGTTATCAACAGGTCCTCGAAGACACTTCGTCTCAGGATCATTTTACCTATGTAGGGTCATACGTCGCCATGTTACCAATTCCAACGGTAACTTAAACATCATAATTTGTAACCACATATAATGTAAAACAACTGTAAATTTATATCATATAAAGGGTTTTGACCCATATATTTTGGTGGCTCATAGCATGTATACCTCGTTTACACTGATGATGGATTTAACAATCCGAAAACGTTTTGTAATATATTTGTGATAGCCCGTTTGGGCATTTTATTATATACCTTTTATAAAGGATTTGAAATAAATTTTTTATGGTAAGATGTTTTAAGTGTATCGTTGACCGAAAATTTACTGTTTTTGAAGTATTTTTTACATTCTCTCTTCCTCTTTTCCTTTAGCCTTTCCGGATGCACTCCGATGCAAATTAGTCCCGAATAGACTTCCGCAGTCTAATGTCTGTATTTTGATCAAATTATTATTAAATACTCCAGCATTCAACCTTGTATCCATGTAATGTCAATGTGATATAAATTTTTGGCGCCAATTAATTGTACACATAGAATTATCTCCACTGATTTATTTAAACGTTCATAAATGTAATTATATTATACAAACTATTTTTTTATAACTGAAACTAAATTAGAAATAAAGGTCTTGTATAGTTAGGTAATAATTTTAGAGAGTTGTGGTAAACAATCGAAGAGTCCAGAATTAGGTTGTTGTTTCCAATCCATTTGTCAGTCCCACATATGATAAAGTGGAAAGTTATCGATGTTATCAGTTACGCCCTATTTTATTTCCAACATCTGATCCCAAATAGAACCTATTTTGTTCCCTTAGATATATTCCATATTTGCATAATCATCAATTATTAGTTTTCACGTCGATATGTCTTAGTGTTTCAGTGATTGTAGTAAGCCTTTCCTTCCTTTGGTGTGATAATTAAGTTCTGGAAATTTAATTTTAACTCCTGGGAGTAAACATTTGTTTGAAAGAGGGAACCTTCCTTTAGCTTCAGTCAAAGTTTAAAGTTCATAGCATGTTTGGTTTGCGTTTTATGCATATTTTTAGAATGTAACTTTTTTAGTGCCATCCAATTTTTAGTAAAATAGCCCCTACATTGCACTTTTTCTTATTCCCCAATATGAAGACAAACCTAAAGCGAACTAATCATGGCGGCGTAGAGGAGATCCAGGAAGCTGTGACCCCGGTGCTGAACAGGATAACTTCGAAGGAGTTACGTTGGAGCAATGTTCAAAAAATTGTGTACATTGGAAAATCGATAATAAAATTTTACTTGTGATGTATTTTCTTGTATTTTATCGAAAAATTTCTGGAACTGACCACACCTCGTAGACCTCATAAATTAATAATGATTTATTCAACATTTTTAGATGGGAGCATACCACACCTTAGATCTGGAACTTAATAGAAAATTCTCACTCAGAAAACCAGAATGGGATTCTGTTTCACTAGAGCGTATAGATATGGCATGTGATCCAACAAAAAGTGCAGATGTTGCTGCTGTCATCATGCAAGAGGGACTTGCACATGTATGTCTAATAACTTCCAGTATGACTCTTGTACGAGCTAAGATTGATGTTAATATTCCTAGAAAGAGGAAAGGATTTGTGCAGCAACATGAAAAGGTAAAAAATATATTGTATGACTTCTTGAAAATAGTATAACATAACACAAAGAATATTTTAGTATTACAAACCATTTCTACTTCTTGACAAAAGTCTGTTTCACTAATAAGTTATATCTTAGTATGTAGTTAATGTACTCTTAGAAGTCTTAAATGTCAGAAATGGAAAAGGGATGTTGATGGTTATGTAATAAAGTTTGGCCTACCAAAAGTCTACCAAATCAATCTACCTTAATTAACTATAAATAAACTAATAAAAATAATTAATTAAAATCTTGTCATATATTTAACGTTATAATTTTACTCTCTGGTTTGAATTAAGTACCACATTGGAAAAGTTAATGTTTATATGGGATTAAGCCACAATTGATTATTACATTTTATTTACATATTATTCTTATTTTAGTTACATTTTAAACTAAACATTTAACGTTTCAGTTTCCACTACTTTGGCTCTTAGACACCCTTTTTAACACAATTCTTAAATATTCTTTTTTTACAAACGATTTTTGAAGTGGAAATCGAAACGTCAAATTTTTAGTTGAATATTTCATTTTTATTGTAATCAATTTTGGCTTAATCCCATATAAACACATTTTGTAACTTGGACATACTACAAGAACATAGTTTCAGAACCTTATTTAGGTGCTTATTTAGTTTCTCCCCTGATTTGTGGGAATGAACAATTGTGGGACAATTAGAGAACAATTTTTTGAAGCGTTACGGCATCTTCCCCCATCTTCCTTATCACTAAGATTTAAAACCATTTGATGATTATGGCTATTATAGGAAAAACTATGATTAGTATTTAACCTAATTTACACTTTGGATTTGTACGAAAATTGTCTTTCTTTAGATTTACAAAAAATCAGAGAAGAAACTAAACAACTCCGATATTTAAGGTGTTCATTCTTAGTTTCAGTTGCATTTGTAGTTATTCTGAAGTAATGGATTAGAGGAATTAACACGAAAAGCGTGATTTTTGAAGCGAAAGATTTTTTTATTAAAGGAAAAGTACTCCCGATAGTAGACAAAGGTCCAGACAAAAAAGTCAATTTTAGACGCCAGTGCAAAAAATATGTTGTGACAGATAATGAATTCTATTATAGCAAAACATATAGTAAACATTTAACAATTGACTATTTTAGTTTATAGTAGGCTATAAGAAAAGAGCTGTTTTATAGTAGTTTTCTTCTTTGAACCTTTCTATTCCTACAATGAGATATTTAGAATATTGCTGCATTCCATGAAGAGCTCAGTAGTATCAGTTGATTTTATTTATTATAAACCAGAATTAGTTAATTAAACATTTAGTAAATTTAAGTCAATCACATTTATCAACAGAAAATTGCTCATTAGAATAATATTTTTAACATAGGATAAAGAAAGTAAAATTTAAAGTGATAATTTTACTGTAGAGTAAAAGTTTAAGGTAACACCGGTACTCCGTATACCCTTCACTGGTATACGAGAACAAATTTAAAATGAATATTGTACTCAAATATGAGTTTTTACTACAGTTTATTGCTCTGATTTGAAAGGTTTTCTGTAATTACAAACAGTTGACTGGATGTATGGTCACAACATATTCTTCAAACTTATATTTTGACATTCAGCTTTCTTAGTTAAATACTAAAGAATGCAAGTAAACAAATCTATGAACATGATTACCTTACCTTAAAGAATCTTGCAGATATAGTTAGTGCTCTCAGCTTGGAAATATTTTGACAGTAATTGTCAAAAGCATGACCAATATTTCTAACACACCTTATTAATAGCTTACTAAAAGAATATAAACTTACTATTGCAGACTTCTTTAAGACTAAAAGTCTTAGTTCAAGCTTCATATCAGAATGTAGCTTTACAAACTAAGTTTTTAATGATACTGTAGGCTCTTTAAAATAATTGCGCTGGCTGGTTTCAAAAATTTTATTGGGAGTTTTTCTTTTATTGCAATACCGTTTTATGATAGTTTTAGAATTAGAATTAAATGGATAATTTTATAGCTCATACCAATTATTAATGGTAATCTACTTTTTCAATTTTTTACAATTTTATCACTCAACAGATCAACAATGTTGGACGCTGCTTTACTGATTGATACCTCATATACTTATTCTAAGGTTTTCACATCAGCATTGATCCTTTATTTTCAAAAATGTTTTTATACCTTTGTTAAATATATTTTTTTCTTTGTTTTTGTAACATCGGAGTATAATGAAATATTTAACCTAAGTCAGAAACTCACATAATGTGGTTTTGTTATTGTTAGAGATTTTTCGAATGGCCAACGCTAGAATAATACCATAAAAATATAAGATCTAGATATACAGGGTGTCAAAAAACTCTCCTGACAAACGAAGACCAGAGATTCTTTAAGACCATTTAACCCAATTCACCTAGTCCTAAAATGCTTCCTAATGGAGCTAGAGCTCTTTGAAGATGGCGCCCTGTAATAAGTATTTTTAATACCTCCAGAACGAAAACTGGGACGATTATTTATCCTCCAGAGGTGAATCGATTTCATGAATTTCTAATTTCTAGTACCGATCATAGGCGTCCGTTTTGGGTAGGTCAACGGTTATTTTAACGCATAACTTTTTATAATTACCTTTTAATCATTCGTGATACTAGATTATTAAATTTTCAGGTATTCTAGTACTAAAAGGTACTCTTACTCTAAGTCGATAGAATACACCGTTTTCTACAAAAATCGATTTCACAATTTTTCGTTTTTTTTTTCGTCATGAAAGTAAAATTAATATTTTTTGCACTAGTTGGCCGTGGACCTGTCAACAGAAGTATAACCTACGTTTTTTATTTTCAAATTGTGGTCAGCTTAGACAAGGAAAGAGAGGACGCGTAACCGTATCGCTAAAAGTGAAGCCAAACTGCCACCAGAGGAAGTGGTCAGCGGCGTATCTTTGTATTTTTAAGGATTGACTAATTCGTATTTAAAATGAAACATTTTTGTACATTAAATGTTTTATTTAATTTATTTTATTTTATACAAATATTTTGGAATCAAAATTAACGAAATTTATTTATTTATTTACTTATTTATGGAATTTTAACCCTCAACGCACATCGCCACTGGCAAATCATCATGGTGTGTGAGTGAAATTATTAATTATAATACAATTACTGAAATAACTATGCATATTTAGCATTCTTATTTACTAATTTAGATCTCACCTTTCCTTAAAATACTAATTTAAATTGGTTTTGAGGTTTAAAATTGAAATAAAAAGTAAAATCAATTAATACCTAATTGCACTATTATAAATATTTACCTATGAAACGATATTCCTGGTGTTTTCTGCTCGCTGCGATTTTTACAAAGAATATATGCACAATTCACCATTTTGTTAAGTAAAAAAAAATAGGTATTTAATTCACTTTTTTTAAAAACCACAAAAACAAAACTCTATAGTCAGATCTATTGTTTGTCACCAAAAAAATGGCGGACACATCAAAAAGTGGCTTCACTTTTTGAAGGTTGGTTGAACGAGCGTACTCGTCCTCTCTCTTTCCTTGTCTAAAGTGATCAGTTCGCGAAGTTTACCTTTTATTTATTTACTTTGTGGCATTCAAATATAACAATTTCAATTCAACATAAATGGTTTTTACTAATGAGGAATACGCTGATATGTTTTAATTTGTGGCAAAATGAGGTGTAACGCTCGAGCAGCACAACGTAGATACCCTGAAAAATTTCCCAATCGTGATTTAACTTACTCAACAGTTACAGCTCTTCATCAATGATTAAGAGAAACAGGTTCAGTGGTCCCAACAAATAATGAAACAGGACGACTTGATGATGTATCAGCAGCACATGAAGATGTTATTTTAATGGAACTTGGCCCTGTGGAATTGCCTGCTCGTTTAAATGGTGATGATTACTTACATTTCCTGGAAAAATTTAAATATTCGACAAAACTTATGGTTTCTACATGGCGGTTGTCCGGCCCACTTTAGCAGGAATGTACGAGACTTTATTGATAATAACTACGAAGACCACTGTGTGTTTATTATTGTGTTTATTTCGTTCCGATACAAAATCGTGCACAACTCTGGCTAAGAATACAAGATGCTTGCAACGAATTTAGAAATAACTTTGGAATTTTTGCAAGAATTCAGTGTTCTCTAAGCAAAAGGCCAAATTTATGCATAGAGACTAATAGTCATTAACGTTGAGCATCTTTTGTAACTATCTACTTTTGATACTTGTTCTTTTGTGTTAGTTTCGTTTAGATACCTATTAATTTAACATTTATGACGAAAAAACGAAAAATTTTCAAATCGATTTTTCCAGAAAACGGTGTATCCTACCGACTTAAAGTTAGAGTATCTTTTATTACTAGAATACCTGAAAATTTAATAATCTCGAGTATAACGGGTGCTTAAAAGATAGAAACAAAAAAGTTAATCGTTAAAATAACCGTTGATCTACCCAAAACGGACGCCTATGACCGGTACTAAAAATTCGCAATTGATGGAGTCGATTCAACTCTAGATGATAAATAATCGTACCAGTTTTCGTTTTTTTTAATAGAGGCGTTCTGGAGTTATTAAAAAAAACTACTTACAAGGTACCATTTTCAAAGAGCTCTAGCTCCCTAGGAAACATTTTCGGACAAGGTGGATTGAATTAAATTGTCTTAAAATTATCAGAGAAACCTCCGGTTTTCAGTTGTCAGGAGAGTTTCTGGGCACCCTGTATAAATAATAACTAATATTAAAATTTTGGTTCTTTTTTAGGGATTGGCTAAATTTTATGACACTGTGATGCAAGCCATTCTAAGGCATATCAACTTCGATATTGTTAAATGTATACTGGTTGCATCTCCTGGATTTGTGAAAGATCAGTTTTATGAGTACATGTTCCAAACTGCAGTTAAAACGGACAATAAAATTTTGCTAGAAAATAAGTCAAAATTTATGTTGATTCATTCTTCTTCGGGTTTTAAACATTCTCTACAAGGTAAGATAAAGTTTAAAAAATATATATAGAAAAAGTAATGGGATAGGTAAGGTTCTGATTGATACTCCACAATTAATTGATTAGTAAATGAAGTAAATACTAAAATAAAATTAGGTCAAATGACAGTTCACGTCGCCCAAACAATAAAATTTCAAAAACGAATATTAAATCTAAATGATTAACAGTGATTCTAGTTAATTGCTAGAGAACTAAGTTAAGTAAAATAAGTAGTCTGCTAAAATTTTAACATATTACAGAAATAAATATTAACAAACACACGTTATGATTAAGAAAAGACAAAACTCGCCTCTTGTATAGTTACAACTCTCTATATATGGTAGACCGATAGAAAAATGAATTTCAAGGAGGAATTTGGACTTTTAAAAGACAGTATCGTAAGAAAAACATCACCTGAGCCGCATACTTCGAAACGATAAATACTATCTTCGGTACGTCATCACGCAAAGAAGAGTAGAAGGAAGGAAGAAGAAATATTGACTGAGGAATATCAGATATTGGACTAACCTCAGTATTGAACAGACATTTCTCGTTGCAAAAGATAGGGAAGCGTTTAAACAGGTGATCGCCAACCTTGGTTAGAAGATGGCACAATAAGAAGAAGAAAAAGATAGCATGCGGACAGGAGTTGAGCTAATTTGTTGCTAGAGGGGATAATTTCGAAGGGTATCATCACATCTAAAATTTAGAGCTACGAGGGCTGATCGATATGTTCTCACACCGAGTAAGCTTAGAACCAAAATAGAAACATGAAATTTGATATAATTAAGGAGAGAACATCAATTAAAACAAAAATATTTTTAGAAGAAAAGAAGTAAAGCACGAAGAAAATTTTAAACTTGGAAATACGAAACAAGAATGTGATATTTTCAACGTTACAGGATTTTTCATAAGCCTTTTATACACTCATTAGTTCCGTAGTTGGGACGAAAATCAGCTTGTTCTCTTGGCTAATCCAATTCAAATTTTCTTAGTCGATTGGTTATAATTCTAGTGTTTAATGTATATAGATGGTTGAGTGGAGAAATCCGCCTGTAATTTTCTAGATTCACTTTTTGTGGACGATAATCGAGTTATTCCAATTTATAGAAAATATATAATTTTTGACTATAATATGAATGAAATTGTCAAAACAATAGTTACTTAGTTTTATAGCTTCTGTTTCTATTCCATCGTTTTTAGTAATATTGTTATTTATCTTTTTGAGTGCGTATTGTGTTTGTCTTGGGAAATACCTAAACTGTAAAAAATTGTTAATAAATCTGCCGATTTAAATACGGTAAGACATTGTAACCTACATATAAAGAGGTAAAATTACTATAAGAAAACTGCAAATTTTACCATCTTTACCGGTAAAAATACTACTTAAATTATATGTACATTTAAGTCCTAACATTTTTGCTTATAACTAAACTAAACTACCGTATATATAAAGGTAATTTATGGTCTGGAAGAAGTTAAAACTGTTAAACAAAAGTTAGTGTCCTTGAATTGTACATTTTGTCTATGGATGTAATTTATGTTAATTTTGGTTTCTTATGGATACAATGTCGTGTATTATTCTTCAACTATTTTTTTTTCTGTCATCTGTCACCCTTTTCTGTTGCCCCTTTATCCCTTAGTTGGAAAATTTCGTTTTTACTTGATGGTATTTTAAATCTCACTTTTTCTTGCTTCATTGCTAAATTGCACAGAAGCTGCTTGCATGTTTCTTGTGCAATTCTTTCGGTTTCAAACTGTGTAATGCCTCGTCTCACAACTCTATTTTTAATAAATGTTTTTATGTTTTTTATATCGCTGTTTTTTTTTTAATTTTTTTTATCGGAGTTGTATTACTAAAGTAATATGTTTGTCTCTTTTACTTTTGGACAGAATCGCGATTGTGTTAATTTAAGTATATCAGCCATTTGTCCAACTCATTTACATCGTTTGTTGGTATGTGGTGTCCAAGGGTATCATTAACATATTCTGTAAATGCCTCTTCATCTTGTACTAGTCATCAAATATAGCTTGAAGATTGGCGATTTTGCTATGTGGTTAGAAAACTAATGTTTTCCGGGGCATCAGTTGTGGCCGGTGCATGCCAGCTTGAATTCTTCAAATCATGTGCGATCAGTTGATGATTGTTCTGATGCTTTATCACGAAAGCCAAGACTTATTGTTTATTTAGACCAACTTTAAAATAGTCTAAAAATCATCTCACAAAAATTTTGACGAGAGATTATTATTTTTTATGAAATTGATTGTTTAGAAAATTTCTTGCTGCCAAACCACGCTATGGATTTTCTAATCTGTCTATGTTGTTTTTCATGAGAAATGAAAAAAATGTTTGTTTACGAAGATTATACTTACGAATTCGAGTAACTTACGCTAGATGGCTATGTGCAAATCTTTTAGTGTACGCCATAAGTATGTTATTAACTCTATCTCCTTAATTGCATTTTTGTCATTAAATGCTATAAAATAGTTCAATTAGTCTTTATTATTTTACTTATTTTTTTATTTCTAATGTTTCACTGTCTTCACTGTATTTATTCTCAAAGGGAAGCTTAGGAACCTCGAAACATATATGAATATTATATTTTAAAATAAATGATGTGGCCAATATTTAATTGATTAGTTATGTATTTGATATATGTGTATTTTTTAGAAATACTTCAAGATCCATCTGTTATAAACAAAATATCTGACACAAAAGCTGCTGGTGAGGTAAAAATCTTGGAAAATTTCTATACCATGCTTCAATGTGAACCAGCCAAGGCGTTTTATGGTAAAAAACATGTGGAACAAGCAAATTCGGAACAGGCAATTGAAACTTTGCTTATATCAGACAATTTGTTTAGGTAAATATATTATTTTACTTCTACAATTGAAAACATCAAAATTTCCTTCAAATCACACAACACTTTAGGTTCCTTTTTAATCAACACTAAAGATATGATGAACACTCTGGACAAAAAGTGGTATTTATAAATTAAAGTGTGATGATTGTGATGCCTCTTATGTAGGTAGAACCATTAGAAAGTTATCTACTGGAATTTCAGAACATTTGAAAAGACCAAACTCTTCAAGTGTTCTTCAATACTGGTTTGTCTATTTTACATGACATCAGTAGAAAGAAAAACTATTTGGAGTTGGATTTATTGGAAGATTTGGAGATCACAAAAGAAACAAATGGAAACTCTCATTGTCTTAATACTCAAATTAATTTAAATTGTACTAAGTGTTGGAAAACCAACTAATTCTTTAATTGTTTCAATTTAACCTAACGCCGCCTCTGTTCCTGAATAACACATGTTAGCCCTTATTAGTTAAAAGAACCAGAAATCTTCAGTGCATTTGACGCCCCTCTTACACCCGCTGACCCTTTGTCATTTACCCAAGCTGGCCACATATTGCATACAAGCATATAAGGGCAGTCGCATTAAGTAGTTCAAGTTAAGAAGTCGCTAAATAAGTTATTCTCTCTCCTCGTTCTCTCTCTCTCTCTCACCCGTATATATATATATTACAAGTTACATTATAAGTTAGTTTAGTGTTGCAAAGTGCAAGGTGTATATATGTAAAATAGTTTGCAAGTAAAATAAAGCGAAGAAGTAAAGTGTAAGTGTATAATTTCACCCCCACAAGAGTAACAAAACGAATCAGCAACCTACGCTTAAATCCTGTAACCAATCAAGACAGGTCACCACAAGGGTTTTGGTGCTCTCAGGGAACGTTGAAAATAACCCCATCGTTTCCCTTTATGGTCCTTCGAGCGCTAGATTTCTTGTGGAAGGTGAATTTAAGAAAAAAGAAAAAATCCCGGGAAAATTCAAATCAAAAAGCCGGTAACGCCACATCACGGGATCATCGCTCTTTCTCTCTCTGCACCTGCACGCAACACCACCGAACGCAGCACATGGTTAGTATACGGAGTGTACGTCTTCAAGTTTCGAATACACCGATTGTCGAGTCACCGAGCAATCTACAAGATATCTCTCTCATACACACAAGGTAAGCGGCTCTTTCTCTCTCATTCTTCACTCTCGACGACACGAACAGAGCGACGGATTTCACAACAGGTGTGAAGTTGTTGACAGTTTGTGTGTTTTTGTGTTTTGTTTTGGTTTATTTAAAGGTTAGACACTAGAAATTTTTAATTTTATTATATTCAATTAAACTCACATAAGGATTTAAAAAAAAACTGATTAAAATAGTAATTCGTATAAAATTATAGTAGTAATTGTGTGTTTATACGAGTTTATATATATTATAAACATATAAAGTTGTATATTTTATTTTATCATATCAATAAGTATATCAATCTCTTTAAAAATGGCTTTGGACACATTAAAAACTGAAAGAAAAGTATTAAAGGCAGGTATTACTAGAATTTTCAATTGGTTCAACATTAACAAAGACTCAGAACTTGACATCTTGCACTTTGAAAATAGGGAAAGGCAACTGAGGACCTATTTTCAACAATATGAAGCAATTCAACATCAGATCGAATGTTCTGATGATGCTGATGTTGAATCTTCAGATAGGGATGATGTAGAATGTAAGTATTTTAATGCTCTGGCAGGGATTCAAAGAAAAATTAAAAATATTAATGAAATTGTAACAAATGTAGATTCTCACAATACTTCACAAAGTCATGCCTCTAAACATTCAATAAGACTGCCAGAGATAACAATGAAAGTTTTCACAGGTGAATTCTCAGATTGGAACTCTTTTATTCAACTCTTCAGCACTTTAGTAATTGAAAATCCTGATTTGAATGATTTACAAAGGCTAATATATTTAAAAACGCATGTTAATGGTGAACCTTTGGAATTAATTAAAAGTTTGGAAGTGATTGATACTAACTTCCATATTGCTCTAAATACTTTAAAGGAACGGTATGATAATAAAGCTCGCATAGTTAGTAGTTTGATTAAAAGGTTATTGAAAATTCCATCCCTAGTTAAATGCACTCCACAATCACTTCGAAGCTTTTTGACTAATATAAAGCAAACTATGCAGTCTCTCAGTAATATGCAGATTCCAGTTCAGCATTGGGATCTTATCTTGATTGAATTAATCTTAGAAAAGGTAGATTTTAACTCTCATAAGGCATTTGAGTATGAACTTGGTTCCAAGGAAATACCTACATTAGCACAGCTTTTTATATTTTTAGAGAAAAGATGTGAAATCCTTGAGAAACTGCATAGCTCTAATCCTCAGACTCAAAAATTTAATTCTAGTAGTCATGCTCGTGTAACACATCTCTCTAATATTGAAAGTAAACCAAATAATTTAAGATGCTTGTTTTGTTCTCAAAATCATAAAATTTATAATTGCAATGGATTCAAAGGCTCATTGCTTCAGGAAAAACTGAAGTTTGTAAACACAAAGAAATTGTGTAGAAATTGTTTGGGAACAAGGCACTTCACTGCAAATTGTGGTTCGCAGTCAACTTGTTCTATCTGTCATGGAAGACATCACTCACTCCTTCATAGAGACAATCATATACAACACTCAACTGCTACACAAAGATTTCCTCCTGAAGCTCACATGATCAGAAATGATAACCACTCTCTTAATAGAAACAATTCTCAAAATACTCTGTCTAATCCTCAAGCCTCATTGTCTCTTGCTCAAACTCATGCTAATAGCACTAATAAAGACACTACTAGGTCTAATAATCCACATGTATTTCAACATAATACACCCTCTAATCAACCAGGTACCTCATCTCACTATCATGATCCTCAACAAACTCAATCTGGTTCTCACAGTTTTGATTCACACGGTGTAACACAGTCATTCTCTGCACTCTCACTCACGAATGAAGTAGTATTGGCTACAGCTCTCGTTACACTAGTGGACAAAGATAAAAATTTAGTCCATGCCCGTGCTCTTCTTGACAATGGCAGCCAGACAAGTTTTATAACCCAAGAGTTAGTAAACAGGTTAGGTTTTCATTCTTATAATAGATTACTTAAAATTTCCACCTTATCTCAATCTTGTTCCACCTCCAACAAGATGATAGACCTCATTATCTATCCCTTTAGAACGACACAAAATGGATTTAATGTATCGTGTGCTGTACTGCCAACTATAACGTGTAAATTACCGCAGGTAAAGATAAGTAGGTCTCACTTAAGTATACCTCATGATATAAATCTTGCAGATCATTCATTCTCAGTACCTGGTAAAATTGATATGTTATTGGGCAATGACATATATTGTGATCTGTTAACAGATGGAATAATAAAACTTGGAAATGGCCCTATACTGCAAAATACACATCTTGGATATATTTTCCAAGGAAGACTACCTTCACAGTCAATTCCCAACTATCATGCACATGTCTCGGACAATAACAAGAATTCTTCTTTCTCAACTCAGGTCTCTCTTTGTATCAATTCTTTGCATAACACTGAACCTCTCGATGCACTCATTCAAAAGTTTTGGGAGGTTGAAGAACTCCCTGAAAGTCCCATGCTCAGTCAGGATGATGAACTTGCTGAACATATCTTTAAAACCACCACAAAATTATTACCTGAAGGTAGGTTTCAAGTAGATCTGCCACTACGATCTTCAGCAGAGCCTAAAAGACTAGGCAATTCCTTTTATTCTGCAAGACAGAGGTTCTACAATCTAGAAAGAAAACTTGTAAAAGATAGCACAGTTTACACCCAGTATAAGAACTTCATACAAGAATATCTCTCTCTTGGTCATGCAAAGGTGGTACCTCTCACACTCACAAACCCAATGTCAGAAAACAAATACTTCATCCCACACCATTGTATTATTCGTGAGGAAAAGCTCACAAACAAATTACGTGTTGTGTTTGATTGTTCCATGAAAACAAGCTCCGGTATCTCACTCAATGACATTATGTTGAAGGGGTATAAAACTCAACCAGAACTAATTGACACTCTCATAAATTTTAGAACATTTCTATATGTTTTTACCTCTGATCTCAGGCACATGTACAGGCAAATCCTCATAAACCCCACTCAAAGGTATCTCCTAAACATTCTCTGGCGAAACTCCCCTCAAGATGAGTTGCAATGCATCCAGTTGAATACTGTAACATATGGTACTAACTGTGGTAACTTTCTTAGCTGTAGATGTCTAGTCGAGTTAGCTCGCACTCATCAAGGATCATATCCTCTTGCAAGTGATGCTATTCTCAATGCATGCTATGTAGATGACATGTTGTATGGTGCTGATGACCCAACAAATCTCTTAAAGGCATATTTTGAAATCACAGAATTATTGAACAAGGTAGGAATATCAGTACACAAATGGTGTTCTAACTCTCAAACATTTTTGGAAAATGTCTCCTCTCGTTCTCATGATTCCAATTATGTTATAGCTCCAGAAAATGGTAATAGTAAGGTATTAGGACTCTACTGGAATGCCAACTCAGATGTATTCTCAATTTCTGTACCTCAGTTCTCACAAGAATCACTCATAAAAACCACCTATACTAAAAGAGAAGTGCTTTCGCTGATAGCTCAAATTTTTGACCCTGAAGGTCTCATTGCTCCAGTAGTAATTATTGCAAAATTAATAATGAGAAAAATTTGGCTTGCAAAAATTGATTGGGATGACCACCTCAGCTCTGAAATTTTAAAAGAATGGCTCAAATTCATTCAAGGTCTATCTTGCTTGCAGTCACTAAAAATTCCTAGATGTCTTTTCAAAAATAAAAATATTAGAAAGATCGAAATTCATGGCTTCTCAGATGCTAGTATACAAGCATATGCTGCATGTGTATACATTCGTGTTATTTATGATTCTAACACTTTCTCTTGTGCTCTTATCGCCTCTAAAAGCAGAGTGGCGCCTCTCAAAATTGTTAGCC